ACAAAATCCCGGAGATCAACATCAGAAATATCCACGCCACACACCCCGAAAGGCAGAAGCTTTACCCATTGTTATTCCATGGATAAAGGATTTGCCTTTCGGAAAATGTCCGAATTAGGTGAGTTCGAGATATTTTTAAAAAAACCATGTGACACGAATTTCGGATATATGTCACACAACTAATCATCCAAACCCATACCGCCGCAATCCGGGTAAAAGTTGCGAGTCCCGGCCTGCTGCAGGCCTGCCTGAAAGAATGAATTGGACCCATTTAAAAGTTGCAATACACTGTATAGAAAGATTTTAGTTAGTGCGCACACTTTTTGCTGGAAAATCTGTTATTGCAGGATATGCTATTGCACAAGCTTTGAAAAATAAACAAAGAGTCATTTACACCACTCCAATAAAGGTATACGAACGATAAAACTTCTTTTTTTAATTAATTAACTGTTAATTATTACTATTATATTCAAAGCTTTAAGCAATCAAAAATACAGAGAATTAAAAGTTCTTTTAGTGACGTTGGATTGATAACTGGCAATGTTTCCATTAAACCTGATGCAAATTGTTTAGATGACTACAGAATAATTTTAAAATCCTTAACATAAAGAATTATATATATAAACTAATAAATTATTATTCAAAAAAATAGATTTTATTGACTATGCTTTATCATGGTACGGGTAATTTTTGATGAGATACTGTACATTATATGAAAGATAGAGATATTTGAAATTTACAAGATGAATTAATTATTTTTAATTAACATTTCTATTTTAATTTTTAATTTTAATCTAGTTTGAGATGTAGTTTGGGAAGAAATTATTATTATTTTATTTACCAAATTCATTTTGTATTTTTATCTGAAACAGTCTCCAATGCTATGGAATTCGCAGAGTGGGTATGTAAAAATAAGATTCTATATAAATTTTTTTCTGATATTTATTGATTAGTTTAATTTTATAGTTTAGTTTAAAATATACATACTGTATATATATTGCTTCTTCGTATCGTATACATCCAAGGCCGCCTTTACAACATTATGTTTATGGAAGTGATATTACTTTCATGTTGAATGTACATTAATATTACTATTTTGAAACTTTAAAAAAATAACATATCAGGTATGATAGATAAATAAAATGCAAATTAAAATTTTATGGCATGTAAAATGATTCGTGAAAATAAAACTTATGACTTAGACAATAGGAAAAAATTTTCTTATATAAAGAGAAGGAAATATCCATAATCAAGAAAATTTTTTTAACAGTTTGCAACTATAATTTTAATAATAAAGTTGCCCACAAAACGGATCAGAAGAAAATTCAAACCTACCTAAAGTAATATTATTTTTTATATTATTGTTATTAATACGATATTTATATAACGTATATCACGTGATTATTATAAATGCCAATTCTAATTCCAAATTTCTTCGTTTTTAGAGATATTTCGGTTTTAGCGGATAAATCTCTTGGGCCAAACTTGTCCACTAAATCGAAATTCACTGTGTACTTCTAATAGTGCTGTAACTCTTTGATTCCATGGTGAATCTAATGTATGGGTTGGCACCGTTAACCGGTTAATTGTAAAATGATTCGTGAAAATAAAACTTATGACTTAGACAATAGGAAAAAATTTTCTTATATAAAGAGAAGGAAATATCCATAATCAAGAAAATTTTTTTAACAGTTTGCAACTATAATTTTAATAATAAAGTTGCCCACAAAACGGATCAGAAGAAAATTCAAACCTACCTAAAGTAATATTATTTTTTATATTATTGTTATTAATACGATATTTATATAACGTATATCACGTGATTATTATAAATGCCAATTCTAATTCCAAATTTCTTCGTTTTTAGAGATATTTCGGTTTTAGCGGATAAATCTCTTGGGCCAAACTTGTCCACTAAATCGAAATTCACTGTGTACTTCTAATAGTGCTGTAACTCTTTGATTCCATGGTGAATCTAATGTATGGGTTGGCACCGTTAACCGGTTAATATTTTTTTTTAACCGGTTAATTCTTTTTGATTAACCGGTTAACCACCATTTATTAATTTTTTTTTATATATTACAGTCAAACCTCGTCACAGCGGACCTTGCCACAACACATTTCTTGTTACAACGGATTTAAGTATTGTCCCCTTATTAATATTAATTAAAACGTTTGTCATAATAATAACTGATTCTACTACTAATAATAAATTTGTTCCATGGATTTTTGATGGGGTCTTTCTATATGTCTACAGCAGAATTCACGTGACATATAAATGTCCAAATTACCAAAATTGATAGAGGAAAACTGCAATTCTCCCTTTGG